TTTTGTTTAGAGAAGAATAGATTCTGCTGCACAGATTGTACATTTAAAGAAAAATAACTTCCAAATAAGCTGTTTACAAAACGCACTAACCAAACAGCTAAACTGCTTATTCAGAACAGGGGCAAAAAGGTCAATTTTTCACAATCAGCTGTTTTCCATAAGCGCCAACCAAACAGCCAGACAGCTTATCCGGATCAGCTGCTCATCAGCAGATTATCAGGATAAGCTGCTTATCAGCAGAAGCTGAATAAGCTGCAGCTGCCCGACCCTAAGCCAACAGCCCTTTAATAAGCTGCAGCTGCCCCAAACAGACCCTAAGCCAACAGCCCCTTCTGGACCGCAAAAACTTTCCCGGAATATTCGTACTCAATGAGGCCAAAATAGGAATTTCGCTTTCTGGTAGCTTATTTTTGCCCCGAAAGCTCAATCATCATCGCTAGGGTTTTTTTTGGGTTGCCTCGCAGTTCTCTCTATTCGTTACCTTCTTGCAGCCATGCCTCGCCGAAGCTCCGCAGGTGCTTTCTCTTTCTATCGGTAGTGCCTCCTAGATGGCTAGGTTTTCTTCCCGTTTTTGTGTATTTATAATCGCTAGATTCCTCGCTGGCTTTTGATGGACATGGGCATCTGTCTTTTCTGGTTGAATCGATTACTTATTATTCTTTTGTTTAGGCATGCTTCAGTTCCGTTTATATATGATTTCTTTCGAATTTCTTATGCTGCCCTAGATTATATATGTGAAAGGGGCATAGAGAACTAGGTTTATCTTCGAGATTACGCTTCTTTGTGGAAATTCATTTTTATTGTGGATTCAACTTCGATTTTAATTTGTTAACCTCGCTGAGGCAATTTTTCACATGGATATGTTTTATTCGGCTCTCTTTGGTTGGGGATCATTTGTTTAGAAATTGTTAGCTTGCCCTAGGTGAATGCTATGGAATAGGTTTAGACGCAAGATTTATTTGGTTTTTCATCTTTAAAATTCTAAATGATTCATTCTAGTTGACGCTTTTTGTAGTTACTTGTCTGCTTATAAATGACATGTGCATGTGATTTCTCTGGTTCTTGTGAATGTTAATTCTGGTGATATTTTAGACAGGTCTATCGTTTGTATGTTATTATTTATTCTTTTTTTTAAAAAAAAAAAATTTGAAATTGAAATTTCCTTCATCTTTTTATACCTGTTTGCTTCTCAGCAGTGGTTTGTTTTATTACCATTCACTTTTTTATTCCAGTTAATTTGTAAATACTAATGTTTCGGGTGGTCTGCATGTCATTATCCCATTTAATAAATGAATGCACCATATTAGAAAATTGGAAGATTCACTTACATACCACTCAATTCTTATGTATTTACCTATATTAACATCTAAACTTCAATTTTTACATAAATGCCAATTTACCCATGCTTGAAAGATTTGGGTGGGACTAATGTAAAATTGTAAAGTTTTAGTCTTGGATCCATAAATAATTAGGAATTGGGTGGCATGTATGTTAATGACCCACTAGAAAATAGTGATTTTTGAAGGGGTTATTGGTTTAGTTTGCTTTGAAGATTATAGTCATTCAATCTTATTTAGCATATAAAAGGCTGTTGGTTTGTTTGGCTTGTACTGCTTAGTGTTTTCTTTTTTAATTGGTTCATTCAAGTATTGCAGCTATTTGTTGCATGGTATAGAGCTACTATTGATTGCGCCCTAGCATCATCGTAATCAGATTTAGTATATGTTGTGTTTATAAGATGATGAAAAGTATGATACTTTTTGTCCTTATAGATTCAATTTGCAGGAAATCCCAAGATAATGCTAGGTAGCAATAATAAGGTTATTGTTGTTCGACTGCCCCTCACTAGATTGAGTGGACCTTTTTCAATCTATTTGAACCACAATTCACTTGGAGATATTAATTGGAATACTGAAAGTTATCATAAATATTTCTTCCCTACATGAGTTATAGTGTTGTGCCTTTATTAGAGGAAAGTGGTTACAGCTTCCCTTGTGATGCAAATTTATATTGGTCATGGAACAATGCCATTCCAAAACAAAGGAAGATGTTGGCTTCTGGTTGTGCTGAGAAACAGATGTTGTTTGTGTTTAGTTGAATATGTACTCCATAGAAGTCTGGGAATGTCCATTTGGTTTTACCCAAAATTTTTGCACCAGACGCATGATGCTAAGAAATTTTTCTCTATAAGGATGGAGGAGAAAATCCGAGATAACATTTAATAGAATATCAAGAATATTGGTGCAAAAACTTGAAGAAGGATATTTGCTGTCAAGTTACGTAACATGTTTTGTCCAACAATGGCGAGGAAAATAGGATAAGATTGTTGATGCGCTACCAACTCATTTCATGTTTTATCCTAGAAAATCTGCTATGTTGCTTAATCTATAAGTGGATGGGAGTTTAAATATTTGACAAATAATTGATCAGTCACATCATATCTACATCATAACATGTCATTATAACATGTTTTTCCATCAGCCTGGTTCTTTACTCGAGCCCGATAAAAAAATTGAGTTATTCGATATGGATGGAAATGAAAGTATTCCAAGTTTAATCTATTGCAAAAGCTCGTTTGAAGGTTATTGCTATATTGTAAAAAGTAGTCAATCAAAAGTCTCTATGTTATGATCAAAAGAACAAATTACCATAGAGTGACAAAAATGTGAAAGAAAAGGCTTTTGGCCAACCTTTTTCTGATCTTGGGGTGTCCATGAAGTTCAGTTTTTGTGAATTGCTTGTGTTTAGCTAATTAAGTATTTCATGGTTGGCTCATTTGTTAAATATTTTGTCTAACTTTGACGCAATATTTAGGTTAGATTCCTTAATGAATTACACACAAATAAAGTTTTTTTTTTTTTTTTCATATACATTTTGGTGGTGTTGAAGTGTTGCCTTTCTGTAATGAAATCATAAGGTTGATTCTTTTGATCTTTCTTCTTATTTAAAATAATTTGAAGTTCTTTTCTTGATTGATATGTTTGTTTGTCTTGATTTATGTTCACAACTAAATCAAACCTTTACCAAAAGGAACACAAATAAAGAAATGTCAATTTTTATCAAACACAAATTATTACGGACAATTAAACAAATCAAGGAATATAACTCGAATAGAGTTATTTTTGTTTATGTGCTACCTGTTTACACCCTCGGTTAATTAAGGGATTGGAAATTGCATATGGAGAAAAGGCTATTAAAGGAGGTCAAGAGGACTAGCTAATAAATAAATAACATTTGGTGGCTTTTAAACTATATTAGGTACTAAGTGATGACAAATGTTTGATATATATATATATATATATATATATATACACACTCTGTACAGCTTCTATATAGTTTCTTACAATAACATTTCCTTCTTCCTTTGAGAGCTTCATCATTAAATAAGGTCTTATTATTCTATTTTTAATACACCAACTTGCGCGCTCGCGCGCGCACACACATGTTTTGGAAAAAGTATGATGAAATAGAATAAGGAGATCTATGATATAAATTTATAAAGAGATATTTATGATTGCGATAATCATATAAAAATTTAACATATGAGTCATATAATGAAGTTACTTGCTAGTAATGTAATATTGGGATAAGAAAAATTATGATAGTGTAGAAGAATTAATTTGGTTTTATGCTAGATATCTATTATGGAGGCTATTATTGTATTACGGTAATTAATAAGAAAACTACGAAGAGAAAATAAGAGATCTTAATATTGGTTTTATTTATCTTAAGAATGTATATGATTAAGTTACAGCATAATTTATTTGGCGCTCATCAAAGGAAAGAGATGTGGCATACGAATTTTGAATTTATTAGAAAATGTATTATTAAATGTTGACTAGTATTAGCAAGTTTTGGAGTGATCAACCAGTTTTCAATCACAATAAGGTTACATCAAAGATCAATATTAAGCCCATTTTTTCTTTGATATGGATATGCTTATATAGGATGCTCAAAATGAGAGATCTTGGTCCATGCTTTTCACAAATGATCTAAGTAATAATTTTGTAGAAATAAGTGAAATTTTGGATAATGAAGAAAATGATTAGAATGAAAAAGGCTTTGGATAACTAGAATAAATATCAACTAAATGATTTGCAATTTCAATTTGTGTAATAATAATTTTTGGCTAATATTACTAGAATGCAAAGTGATTGGTTTTAGTATCTCAGGTCTATCACATAGAACAGTGGGATAAATATGATGATAAGACTCGTGGAGTTTGGATGATTTATATAGAAAATTTTATCACGATTATTATGTGATATTATATGTAAATCAAAGAAACTTATTATTAGGGCAATTATATTGAATGATTTGGAACTTTGAGTATCAAAGGTGTCATGATTACTAAGTTAATTGCATTACAAATGAGAATGTTAAGATGCTTAATTAAACTAGGATGGTTATATTTGGAAGTGATTATATTTGAGAAATTGTGTATAATTTTTTTGGAAATTGTGATATGAAAAAATGATTTAGGTTGTTCGGGCATGCAGAAGAAAGAGAAAAAATACTTTCTATTGGTGTAAAAACATTAATACTCAAGGATTAGGAAAAAAGGATTAAAGCAAAGGCAGCTTTGATTGGACTAGTTCAAAATGGTTTGTGGGAATTATTTTAACACATCATTAACCACTTAGCAAGAACAGATGGAGGTCAGGGATTTATAAATCCGTCCCAAGTAGCTGTGTTGAGCCTAATAATGACGATTGTGATTGCTGATGATTTTTTTTATTTTTATTTTGGTACATAGCCATGTTCTTTCTCGTTTATGGAATTTTGTTTCCTGGTGAAAATTCATTTCTGTGTCTTGCTACTGTGTTTAATGCATTTTTCCCCTAAAGAATACCTTTTGAAATCACTATGTAGGAAGACCGGCTCCTCGGCCAGCTCCACGACCTGCTCCTGTGAGGAATCCCCCTCAACCAGGTATTTCTTTGTTTTTTTTTCTCATAATTCTTCTGTGATACAAATTTTCTGGTTCAAGTTTCTTTAATCAACTTAGCTACAGGTCTAATCAATCAAAAAAACAAGTTTCTATGACTGTTCATTAAATGTAAATTATATTGATCTCTATGACAATCTCTATGAGAGTGCAAAGCTCTTGCTTTTGAAAGATATAGAAGTGCATCTAAGTGCAAGAAAAAATATGCAATATTATATTTAATTTTCTATATTAAAATATTCTAAATATAGAATAGGATGTTAATGGAGAATGATAAAGTTAGGCGCTGGAGAGAGACGTGGTTAACTTAATTTGACGGAGAGTTCTATATTTGAGCATTTTAAAGTTTTTTAAGTTGTATATTTGGATACGTGGACTTTTAAGCGCTGGATATGTGAATAGCAAAGTTTTACATGTTAAGTATTGTAATTTAAATATGAATTATTTTTTATTAGTATAGACTATAGATTGATATTCGCTGTGTTATAATCGACTTAAATAAAAAAAAAATTGATAGTTAACGAAGAATTTGACTTTGAGTAAAATAATGACCTAATCAATAGAAATTATGCATAATGTTTTGATATTAATTAGTAGGATTTTTATTATTAAATTCTTGTGAATGTATCAAAGCAATCATATTCACGTTGGACTATGAAATGATTCTTAAAAGTGTTAGTATATGTAATAATAAACTTTTAGCAGAGTACTAAAATTGATTTAAGAATTACAATACTGTATGATTATTGATAATCACATGAAAAAGCAATTTAAAGTTTCCTAGGAATCACATTAAAGAAATCTTGATGATGATTTAGGTTTTTAATAAGTGATAACCTGATCAAAGAAATCGTAAGCTTATATTACTTGAAAGATGAAATGTTCAGTATCATTAACAATGTATGGATTACTAAAAATTATCACTTGCATGTATTTAATAATATAGCCTTAACATGAAATAGGGCAATTTATTTAATACCTAAAATGTAGGGATGCTTTTAGATAAGTATATGCTGTGTTAGAATTGTACCAAGTAAGAAAAATAAAATTCAATAAGGTTATGAATGAAACATTACTTACTATTCAGCTAATGATATAAAAGTTTTAAATTTTAAATATAACAATTTTCCATGTATTAATTTTTACGTTCTATTTTGAAAGTTGTTCAACCTTCTTTTTTTTTTTATTCACATTCACTGAAGAACATAGAGCCTCTAAACTCAATTCATTAAACGTTACATCTGTCCAAGCGCACATTCACTTCCACTAGAAAATAAAAGCAACAAAAGCATTCAACCTTTTGCTATTCATTCAAATGTCACATCTGCAGTAACCGGAAAGCAAAAATTAAAGATTATAAGGAGGATATTCAACTCATTTTAGGTGTTGAAAATTGTTGTGAAAATATTGGTATGGCAAGTCTTTTCCATGCGTAGTGCAATGCTGTGCCAGTTGACTTGACGAGGGTTGGTGGAATGGAATGGATAGTTGAGGGGGCCTTATGGGAGGAGCAATGAAGTACTTCCAAATTTTCAAATGAAATGAATTCATAAAATAGTAACTCTCATTTTTCAGATGATTTAAAATGCCTTCAATTCTATTATGCTGTATTAAAATTTATTTCTACATAATTCAATGTCCTTGAGGTAATGTAATTTGTGCCACATATCAATTTCTATATATTCTTTTTGACAATTGTTTTGAATAAGATTTGACACTTGTAGAATGATTAAGCTCGGTTTGGTTACGGAAAAAAAAAAAAGGAAAAGAAGAAGATTCATTAAAAAAAGATATAGCTGATGCAGTTATTAAAGGGTAAAAATGGAAACTTTTTTTTTTTTTTTTTGGTTTTTTGACTTCGAAGAGAAAAATTGAAAATCAAGAAATTTCATAATGCTGCTTTAGCTTTAATTATGTGCATATCAAGATATAAATGTTCTATATGTAAGTTTGGGAAGATGAGTTGTATCGAGATATAGGTTTAAACCGAATCATGAATATAAAAAGGTTTCATGTTGATTAGGGAAAGCCTAATTGCAAAACCATTGCTTAAGGCAGCTTAAAGGATGAAGAAATGGGCGATTCCGAAACTCCAGGAGACCATTGGCAATTGGTTGTGGAAGTATGAAATGTTTCAGAGTAGCCCATAGCTTCTATGATAAAATTTTTGGTGGTAAACGTAGCTTACAGGGCAGAATTTGTATTCGTAAATAATTTATTGACTGTAATTTTTAGTAATAACTTCATTGATGTCCTGGGTTTTTTTTTTTTTTTCACAGTACAAGATGCTTCCTTCAACCTTTCACTCTGCTTATTTCTGACATGGTTTCCTCCTTGATGATCCAATCTCTTACTTTTTCTGCAGCTGTAAATCATGCTCCTCCTCCAGCTCCGCTCCACGGTGGTGGATCTATGCTTGGAGGGATTGGCTCTACTATAGCTCAAGGTAGGGCCAGACATAAATAGGCATTTTATATGATACTGGTTGATGTGATGCTATGTTATTTTAATTATAACATACCTTATTTATCTTAACTCTTAAAATTTGCACAGGCATGGCTTTTGGCACGGGGAGCGCTGTTGCTCATCGGGCGGTGGATTCTGTTTTTGGTCCTCGAACTATTCAGCATGAAACTGTAGCTTCTCAAGTTCCTGAAGCTGCTTCCATTCCAGTGGGAAATGCTGGTGGTGTTGATGCATGCAGTGTTCATTCAAAGGCCTTCCAGGATGTAAGCTTCCATTTTTCTGCGTTCTGATTTTAACTAATTTGACAATTATTATGGGGTCCTTTGGGATCACTTTTATTTTTATTTTCTATTTTTTATTTTTTGTTTTGTTTTGTTTATATTTTGATTTCAATAAAATATATTTGGCTATTTGATTGAAATATAGCTGTTTTTAAAAACAAAATATAAATAAAGACAAAAACAAAAGACAAATATGGTCCTAAACAAGCCCTAACGTTGTGCAGGGCCGAATTTATTCTGCTGTTGTTATTTGTTATTTTAGAGTTAAGAATATAAAGTCTATTCATACTAGGCAGTGCTAACTACTAGCTAACTATTATAGTTACAGTATAACAGGGCCTTCTAGGATGTAAGATCCGGTACTTTTTCCGTGATCTGATGTGCTTCCCATGACTAGTTTGAGGATTTCTAACAAAAATAGAGAGCTGAAGATATTCTATTTCTTCTGTTTTTTATTTTAATTTGAATCTGGTATTCGAACTCTCATACTAAACGCGGGTGATAGACACTTGTTACCAATTATTGTGACAAAATAACTGTTCTGAAGAATACATTTGCTTTAACAAATCTTTCTTAGTTTGCTAATTTCAGTTGTTACTTATGCAATTTGTGTCTTTTATTTCCATATTAATTCAAAGATTTTTTTAGGTTTTTTTATTTATAAATAAGGACATCGAGGCATGTAAAATACATCAATTTTTTTAATAAAATTCGCCCTCTCTCTCTAATTTTTATTTGATTTGGATACTAGTTAGTTTGATGCAAGTATTAGATGCTAACTTTTCTTGAATCTAACATACTCTTATGACATGGAGTGAGGGACGCTTATTTGGTAAATTTTTTTTCTTGTTATTTTGTTGTCACATATTTTTTTGATTGATTGTAAGCGAATGATTTTAATCAAATCTATTAAATTATTGATTTTTTTTATTTTTGTTTGTGTTTTCAATTGATGTATAGTTTTATTGATCCTAGTTTTCTCTGCTAAAGTTTTATTTGACTGTAACTAAATTGCTGTGAATTTTATGTATTTTTCTTGTTGCATAAAAATAGTGAATGGTTTAAATTATTTGTTTGTTTATTGTGAACTCTAAATTTTTAAAGTGCTCTAATTTCATGCATAGCATCATCTAGTTGTAATAGGAAGTTAAAATCGAAGACATCCTACATTTGCTTGGTATTAGAGCGAAGTTGCACCATGTCAACATGAAATATGATGTTTTAATTACAAAAACAATAAAAGATGCAATTAAAATGGAATCTAATAAATTATGATTTAGGACAGTTGCAACGTGATCATCATGATGTTTAGTGTGTTTCGACATTTGATGGGTGTTTTTTTTTTTTTTTTTTTATTACAGATTTTCAGATTAGATTGATACTTTAATAGGTTTATGACAATGCATGTATTCTTAGATGTGCCATCTCAGAATTAATGGGACATTCTTAATCAAATGGGTAAAATGTTGATGTTAAATTTATATGAGTGATTTGAAACCAAAACTAAAGGTATAATATTTGTGACTCGTTGAGTATAAAAATTATAAAGAAAGTGATTACAGCATGTTTGAATGTTATATGCACGGTTTAAAGGTTTTTCTTTCCGCCAAATATTACTCTTATGTGGACTATTATTTTATCATTTGCCTTTTTCATTAAAAGTTTCAAGCAGTAAATCAGCAATAAATTAGGCTAGAACACTCCACAGCCATTAGATGGGAGCTTTAGTATCGAACTTTTAGAGATTTTTTATTATTACAATGATCCTCCTGTTAGGATTATTACACCCAAGGTCAATTGAAGAATTATAAATGGTCTTTTTTTTGTTGAAAAAATTGTTCAGGGGTACTCCTTTTTAGGTTTTAAACCTGAAGGGCGTAATTCAAGTTCCGAATCAAAATTGGGCATGAGATTATATCTGAATTTTAACTTGAAATAGGTGTTGATTATATTCGTTAATTTGAACTAGAACTTCTAACATAAACTGATTCAATTTTGAATTTGGACTTCAACTTCTAGTTGAAATTGAATCTTTCATGCCTATTATATTTGATGAGTCAATTGAGAAAACTGATGAATTGATTTCTTTGATATTTTGTGTTAAATTTGTTGTTGTTATGGTGATTAATTGGATTTTATGTTTGGTTTTAAGTTTTTAGCGTCATAAATTTATCGAAAGAATCTTAAGAAAAAATTTATTTTGTGCCAATATTTCAAAAAATTTATTAAAAAATATGCCTCCATAAAATTAGAAATTTAAAACTTATTATATCCGATTAAATCTTAACATGAATAGAGATCAGTCCTTTAGCCACCTGATTTTTGTAGTTTGCTCACATCATATCATATATTTGAGGTTGAGTTCTTTTATAATTTTATTCATTCATTTCATCTTTATGTTTTTTTTTTTTTTAGATTATCTATTATGACACGTCAATATATGAGCATTTTCAATTCAATCTAAATGTAGTTATTCGCAGGGTGTTGGCTGTTAATTATGATAGTTATAGGTATCAGATGTTATGCGAATAAAAATAAGTGAAATTTAATCTAGCTGATAAGGAAATTTTACTGCTAGATAGAAAGTTTCTTACAAGAACTTGAATGCTAGAGACTAATATCTAAAAGATAACTTGTAGGGGAATTTACATACATACCGCCTAATTCTCATGTATTTACATATCTATCACTGAAACTTTAGTTTTTACATTTATATCTCCTAAATCTTTCATGTCACATAAAAAAATACCACCGCTTCAAAATGCACCTTTTCATAAAGATGGTATTATCCATATAAAAATTGAAGCTCACTGTAAATACATATGAATTGAGCAGTGCATGTAAATCTTCCTAATTTTTAAGTAAACCAATTTTCAAAACTTAGGAATGATTTATTCCCCACTCTACTCCCATATTTTATTTAATTATTTAATTTGCGGATATGCAGTGCATCAATAACTATGGGAGCGACATCAGCAAGTGCCAGTTCTATTTAGACATGTTGACTGAATGCCGTGGATCTTCTGCTTCGGGACTACTGAATGCATGAGGTTCACCAAATTACTATTGCCATTCTGCTTCTGAAACCCATGAGGTCTAGTACCAGTACTCATCCTTATTATGCTTATTAAATCTGCTCTGTTATCCGAAATACTAAAAAAAAACTATTTACTTCCAAAGTTTTAAGTCTGGTGCCTCTGTGGACCCCTTTGCACAACTGCTGCTGCTCATTTTCATCATATTTGCTTAAATAATGTGTTTTGTTTGTACCTCAATGGTTGGTAAATCTTCCCATGCGCATCTTATCATACATTTTTAATTGGTTGATTCATTTGGATTCAAGCTTACTGCAAAAATTATTTCAGTTGACAGATTGAATTAACAGTCTTGAAGACGTAATTTCTTTGTTCAAATAATGTTATATTTGCATATTTAAGATAAGCAAATTATTTGTTGAACCGAGAAATTTGGATATTGAAAAATAATAATAATAATAATATATATATGTATAGATTTTTTTAATGTTAAAATGGAATTTACGAACATGAAAGTTAAAGTTGTCTAATTTATTTATTTAAAGACTAAATTCTATATTTTCTTGAACCATCACATAAAAAGTTAAATAATGGATTGCGGACCAAAACACATGATTCGTATTGCGGTCCAAAACACTTGATTCGTTTTCCTCGTACTGATTTTGGGTCTGCTGAAGGAATTTATTTCCAAAAAAAAAAAAACAAATCATCAGTTGCTGCTCTTCTTAGTTCTCTCAACAAACCTCATGGGAAATTAGATCAATAAATGTGCTTTTTTTTTCCTATTCGTTTGAGATGAGCTTAACAACCTGATTTCAAGCCGAGTTGTGGTTGGTTCAAAATCGGCTCGAATAGATTTATTGTTGCTCAAAATCAGCTCGTGTTTTTTTTTTTCAAATTTGAGTCTATCTGGCTTAATAATTGAATCAAGTTTGATCTGGCTAGTAATCAAAATTAGTTGGCCCAAATTGAGTTATTTGGATTCATTTCAGCTTGAAATCGGTTCGACTCAACTCAAAATCAAAACTAACTTGCTCCGAATGAGTTATTTGGATCCATCCTCGCTTGAAAATGACTCAAAATTTGCTTGTGATTTGTTATATTCAAATGCACTTAATATTGTATATATAATTTTTATAAATAAAAATACTAGAAGCCAATCTCGAGTCACTTCATGTATGATTCAAAATTGGTTTGAAAAAGAATCGGTCTGAAGTTTCAGCTCTCACCTCAGCTCATTTTTTTGGATCCTAGCAGAAATTTAAAGATTTACTAGCCAATAACAAACTGAGCTAAATTCACAGCTGTGTTTGAGACACAGAGAAACTAATTCAGTCTTATTTTGCTTTGCTTAAAAATTTTTTTTGGTGATTGTATCGTATCAAACTGAAGGGCATTTGCATACATGCCACCCAATTCTTATATATTTACAAATTTAGTTCATTAACTATGCTTCTTATATTTATGCCTCCCAAATCTTTCATTCCACATCAAAAATACAACTATTTTATTAAATAAGTGACATACAATCTTTCATGCGCATAAATAAGGTGGTATATAATTAAAAATTAAAGTTTACTGTTAGCTAAGTAAATAGAAAAGAATTGAGTGGTATGCATGTAAATCTTCCAAAGTTGAACCCCCTGCGTTGAGCTCTTGTCAAATTGTGAAGAATAATAAAATATTTAGGTTTTATTAGCAAAGGGCCAATTGATTATATATGCGGCGCCAATTATATTATTATGGGTGTACGGCTATCTAGAGGCTAAATAGGAGTCTTTGAAAACCCCTAATCTGCCTAAAAATTCGAGTATCACTTCTTTAAAGCTAGCTGTGTTAGAGGGATTCAAACTTTCAACCTGAGAGGTCTTATACTGTAGATATCAACCAACAGATCGGGATACACAACACACACGCGCACGCACACATATGTCTATATATATTACAAAAATATTAATTTATGATCCAATCTAACGGACTATAAAATAGCTCCAAAAGATATCAAACATGATAAAGAAAGCATCAAAATTTATTCGGTTTGACTAGGTAAATTTTTGCTTATAAGAGATAAGAGAGATGTGATCCACTAATAAAGAAATTAGAATGGTGATGTCTAATAAAAATGCACTCATCGACCCTCCTCAACTACTCCACCCCACTTAAAACAATCTATGGAAGATGGATTAAATATAAATCATAACATTACCAACTTTAAGTTCATAAAATAAATACAATTAATATGCATGCATTGAATTAGTGCCCGTTTGGGGCAGCGAGTGGTGGCGGCGAGGCACCGCACTACAGTTTTGTCCGCTTTGGTAAAATGCATTTTGACAGCTTTTTAGCTGCGGTCTGATTTAAAAAAAAAAAATTGATGATCATTATTCCCTACAAATTAATATGCATGCATTGAATTAGTGCCTGTTTCGGGCAGCGGTGCGGTGGCGGCGAGAAACCGCACTGCAGTTTTATCCGTTTTGATAAAATGCATTGTGACAGCTTTTTCAAATAGTTGTTGAAATCTACATTTGACAGTTTTCTAGCTGCGGTCTGATTTAAAAAAAAAAATTGATAATCATTACTGTAGTTTTTTTAGCAGTTTTACAACTATTTTTTAATAAGTTGTTGCTGCCTCAAACAGACTCTTATATTGTTGTCAACATATAAACTCTACTAGTTTATGCAAAATTTCAAATTAATATTCATATTATTCTAATGCTTCACATGCTTTATCCATTAATATTAATTCAACATTTAATAATTCCTTTTAAAAAAAAAAGGAAAATAGGTCTATCATGTATGACTATTGTAATGATATTTAATCACTCTGTATGCCAAAACCTAACCTTCTATTATTCAAATACTAGAAGGCTTTTTCTAATAAAAAAATCCGAAGAATGATGCCAAGACTCTTCAGGCGTAAAATTTGTGCAATTTGTTTGTTTTACTTCCCCCGTTTATTTGTTTGTCTTCGAACGAACAAACGCAATTTATAATTTTTTTTAATAATATTTAAAAATTAAAATATTTATTTGAAATAAAAGTAGATAATTCTTATTTTATTTGAATTTTTTTTTTTTGATGTTATGCATCAAAAATTTAATTATCACACAAATTATCACACGTGATTCCCGATGCTTTTGTTTTTCTAAACTCTGGTCTTAGCAAGTTTATGCTTAAACTGATCGTCTTGACAAGATGCATCCAATAACATCACATTTGATTCAATCTGGGTCTAATTAAGTCTAGATTAAGTAATTGAAGCAAATTTGGAGGTTTTGGACAGTTTATTGAATGATCAAATAGACTCTAAATTTGACATATTTGTAGTCAAGTCGAGCGTCTCGATGACATGAATCCAACAAGCCTAAGATCACTCAATTTTGATGTCATTAAGACAATCAAATTATTTAAATACTCTATAATCAAGGAAAATCAATATTAGTATTCCGATCATATCATTAATGAAGTTATTCACCAAAAGACCCAAATAACTCTCACCCAAAGGCTATATATAGATCTACTCTCTTCACTAGTGGGGAAGAGGAGAAGAAGAGGAATTACAAAACTTGTTCTGAATTGAAGTTCCGACGATAACTTTCGGCCTCCGTATCCGTCGATCACCATCGACCACCACCAATTTTCACTGCTTGTCATTGTTGACCTCCTGTTGCTGGTGACTCCTGCTTCCAAATGTAGAATCCCAAATATACTTATAACGAATAACAACTGTATTGAAGACCTGTAATAACTTCCAGCCTCCTCAACTGTCAACTACCTTCACCACTTATCGCTTCCGATCACCGGCCACCTGTTACCACTGCTTATGACAGTCCTAGTTAGAATATGACAAATGTTACTAACAAATGTATTATTTTTTTTGTATATTATACAATTACAAATATTGTATCTAGTATAGAACAGTAACACTGCTCTCTCAGTCGTGAAAATGACTGTACATTTGTACTTTTGCACTTATAATGTACATTTGTACTTCCTAACAAATGTCTTTTTCTCTTTACAGTTTTTTCCATGTAAAACATTATGGTTTCTTCCTACAATTATTCTATTATATGTGTGTTGCATTTTTGTGCAAGACTAAAATATTAAATTATCACTCTATTACCGTGAATTTTCAAGCGGACAACAATAATATTTTGCAATACATACCCACATCATATATATGTATGAAAGACTTACACATATACCACTCAATTCATATGTATTTACATATCTAACAACAAAACTTCAAATTTTACATACATGCCACCTTCCCTATGAACGAAAAGGTGTAGTTCACTTATTAAATTTAAAATGACAGTATTATTTATGAGATAAGATGGATTTTGGTGGTATAAATGTAAAAAGTAAAGTTAAGTGGTATATAAGTAAATATAAGTAAATACCTAGAATATGGGTGGCATATATGTAAATGTAGGCACTAAAGCCACTTGCGTTGATCTGTAAATCTCCTAGTTTATTCATTTATATAATTTACTTTAGGGACATTGGGGAGGTCTCACCGAAAAGGGACAACCCAGAGAAAATATTATCTCCAACACCGTACGTCTGGATAACCAACCACCGAGCCTCGTGCTCATACACCTCATCAGCGGGCAACATGGCGTCATGTGGTTGGTCAAATGGACGAATGTATTTTCCACATTTTTTAAGTATACTACTTTCACATTTTTTGTAACTAGCAGTATTTTTTTGTTATATTTTTCTTTCTTTTATTATTGCTATAGTTTGTTGAAATTCTCTCGTAAAATTAATATTTTCAAGAATTAAAATTATGTGTACGTATAAAATTTATAAATACATTTAATTACATACTTAACTAGTGAAAATCCTGCATGTAGAGCTATCATAAAAGCTCATGCTTATTTTCGATTTGGTAAGAAGCTCGTGTTAAATTCGTTCATCAAAATAAGAGAGCTGAACACGTATAATTTTTTTTAACTCAATCTGTAATTATGTTGAACACGAATAAGAAGTTGCTCGGTCTTGTTTGGCTCGTTTTAAGTTAAAATGAATAAGCAATAAATAAAAGTTAAATTAGTAATATAATTGATACAAATATTTAAATAATTTGATTTTAGAAATGTAAGTATATAAAATTTAGGTGGAATGCATGTAGATATTTCCCCTCAAATTTTAAAATAAATAAAATTTACAATATATGTAATATATATATATATATATACACACACACACACACAAATGAGAATTCGGTCCTGCTCCACTAGTGTTGTCCAAACTGCTTGTTGTTCGTGAACAACTTGTGTTCGGCTAGCTCTCGTTCTCTAAGTTAACGAGCCGCACCCGCACAAAAATTTGTTTGTTTGTGTTCGG